GAGAGAGAGAGAGAGAGAGAGAGAGGGAGAGAGAGAGAGAGAAGAGGAGGAGGAGAAATAGGAGAGAGGAACAACAAAGCATGAAAATAGCATAAAATCAAAACGACAGATGTAACACCAAAAATTGTTATAAGTATAAACAGGTTAACCATCCTTATTAAATGACAAAATCTTTCAGATTAGTTTTTTGAAATCCCACTGCATACTGTATATAAGAGGTAGTCTTAAAAACTGGTGGGGGGGGGAAGCAAGATGTATATGAAAGCATGCCTAAATTATCTCTTTACTATTTACCTCTACTAAAATGTTTTAAAAGAGAAATATTAAAACTAAAAGATTAAGCAAACATAAATTAAAGCAGGCGTTGCAATAGTAATATATGACAGTCATATTCAAGAACATGTACATTAAATGGGATTTAAACATCTCATTCTGATAAAGGGCACAATTCACAACAAACATATAAAACTCATAAATCTTAAGAATCAAACATCACAGGATTGAAATATGCAATGCAAAAATGGCAGACAGGGAAAAACTGTACTAGGAATGGGAGTCTTTAAGACAGAACCTCAGTCTTAAATAAATCAATTCCTCAAAAATAATAATATAGTGCATTTGAACAATATTGTTTTTTATAGAAATATGTCAAACTTTATACAGAACATTCTTTTTTTTCTGAAACATCCACAGAATGGTTATAAAAATTAATCATACACAGGGCTATAAAAATTCAATAAATTTTCAAATAAAAGCAGATATTGTACAAACCACATTTCTAATAACCATTAAATAAAGTTAAACTTAAGTAAAAATGGTTTCAAAAACAGCAGAAATAAGACCATTAGGGAACAGAAAAACATCTTCCTAAAAGACGCTCACTGAATAAATTCATGTGTTAAAGAGAAAAAAAAAATCAATGTTAAATCAGTGTAATTAAAGCCATGATGAAAGAAGTGGACATCTAGTATCCCAGGAGAGATGAAACCAGATAAGAATGGAAATGTTCCTATCAGATTGTCAGCTATGTGCTGCCATCCTGGCTGAGAAGAACCCCAGCACTTTAGTTAAGAAAAGGAAGATAGTCCTAGATTTAGATGATACGCTCTGTGATCGTAATCAATTATTTTAATCACTTTCATAAAATTCTGGGTGAAAGTTGCTCCCAGTATCATTTATGATTAAAATCCAGACTGAATGGACCCTGCCTCACAATTACTGTCAAGATTCTAGCCCTGCCCGCCCCCCCCCCCCCCCCGCCCCAAACTAGGAAAGCAATATTCTTTCCTGCAGCATTTTCCAAAAGTGAATTCTACAGGAGGTTACTAGGAGCTGGGGTGTGGATAAAGAGGTGGAGGGGCGAGAAATTCACAGCCAAAGCACTTGGGGCATGGTGAGTTGAAGAAAACAAAAACGTTTTCATGGCTGCAGAGTTTTTCAGACTCTTTCATAGGCCAGTATGCATTGTGAACTCTGAGAAGAAAAATGCAGCACCCAGTTTTTCTCTCAAGATCTCAGGACGCTGGGACGCTGAAGTGCTGAAGAAGACGCTTTGGGAAACACTGTCTTTGCTGAATTGTTTCTATATGATTTGTTTTTTTGCCCTCAAAGCTATCTTTTACACATTTTAGTATGGCTGCCAGGGTCCTTGCTCGAGGGCGGCAGGGGGTTGGGGGACAGGGAGCTGGGTGGAGAGCCTTCTCAAGGGAAGCACTGACCTCCATTCTGTGGTGTCACCAAGTTACAAATGGGCCACAGCTCCTTGGCGTCTGATGCAAAATCTCAACAAACAAACAAAAAATGAAATCTAGACTTTATGAATCAGATATTGGAAGCAGATTTAGAGGCAGGTTTGTCTGCAAAAGTCATTAAGCACAATTAGCTAGGGGAGAAAAGTTAAAAAAAAGAAGAAGAAGAAAAGAAAAAAGCGTTATATGGCCATGTCACCGTGAAGGACTCCCTGGCAGCAAATGCAGGAGGAAGCGAAGTTATGAGATCTCTGTTATTTTTTACTACATTTTTTGGTGACTAATAATATGACAATGCAACAAATTCCTAATATCT